TCAAAAATATAGAACTGTAACTGTATGCATTGCAGCCCATCACTCCTCTTCACATGCATCGCTTTTTTTTCCTCGTTTTTTTTTACATTTATTTCCATGTTGTAGCATCACTTTAATTTGGCATGCCTGACCATAATTTTTCAGTTTCCTTCTCCTCTCCTGCCTACACACGCCATTTCTGGTCTGATTTTTGCCTAACTACTGATTGCTGAGACTATTTTGCCAGAAAGTCATTTGAAGATAGAGATATAGGCGAGCGGTTCAGCAACCACACTAGATTATTTTTTCAGTTTCATAATAATAATTTTCACATGTATTCGATTAACAATGCCTGGTCCAAACGGCCACCAATTTTGATATAATAAATTACGATTTGACCAGTTCGTTTTTCCATATGTTTCAGATAATGAAGAATGTAAAAATGATCTAGGATGGCAATATTTGGCAATATTTTGAACACATAACTTTAACGTTTTATTTGAACTTTATCTTAATAATTAATAATGAATATAGATTGCATTGATCTTAATATCATCTCGTAGAGAAAATGGCCGAAAACTTTTGATGGTTCATATATTAATAACAATCGGGAAGCCTTATACAAATATTTTACAACCATAGAATTTAAAAAAACTGTTCCCTTGACTCTAAAGTTATTTATGAATCGAAATATTCTGAGCGTAAGAGTATAAGCATTTAAGCATTATAGAAAATAATATGTTGTGGTGCAAGCCACATCACCGTCACTAGAGTCACCGAAGTTCATTGATTCCTCTTTGAAGAAATTTCTTTCTTTATATGTCTACTAAAATTCTAATTAAAAAGAAAGTTTTGGAACTGGAATTCTTATGTATTATATATGTATCATTTTGGGTCGAACTCATGGAAATGATTCTTGTCTGCATGATCTTTACTTATCCACAAAATCCAGCTTGTTAGCTCAGTGCTGGTGCCAAATTTATGATAAATGTAATATTTTGATCCGCTAAATCTTAGAAAAAAACTGATCATTAATTAAATATTGAGAAATCATATTTAAAGCAGTAAATCCTTGCAAATATAAATTTATAAAGATTAAACTGTAAATGCGTTCTTGATGAAATAAAATTAGCTTGATTCTTCCAAACCTTTAGCGTTTTCTATTTTTAATACATAATTTATTTGCAATTAAATATATTACAAATTAGTCATGGGAATGAGATCTTATGTGCCGTTGCAACCGGCTGCATTGTACGATCGGTCTGATAAAATTATATATCATACTACTAAAATAATTTTATATTGTATATTTTATAGTACTAGTAATGATAATTGTTTCAAATAAAATCTCTCGGTGTTGAATACAATCGCTTGGCAACACAGATACAAAAACGAACGAAGAAAAATCATTCGCAAAGGGAAAAAGGATTTAATTATCATGCAATTAATAATCAACAAAACTAGAGAATTTCGTATTGTTTAAAAATTTTTTCAAAAAAATTCTGTAGTGAATTCAATTTTCTACATTTGTGAACAAAATGATGTGAAGAAGATTACCTATGAAAATCTTTTTTCGAATCGAGTTATTCCAGTGATTCGGAAAAAATTAAGTGAAGTTAAAGTTTAAATTTCAAAATGTATTCCAAAATTCATTCAAAATTTATTCTCAAAAATAAGGCAAAGTGAGTGGTTAGCACCCATAATTTCTGGTTAGGTTCGCCTGGGTTTTTTACAGAGCGAGAAAATTTTACCAGGGAGGGAGTCATTTAGAGATAGAAGAACAAATTTTCATCCAAATTTCAAACAACGCTTCGATTCCGAACTATTTCCAAAAGTCGAAGGAGCTTTGACATATAATTATTTTTTGTTACCATTTTTGTTATCATTTTTGGCAAATTATTTCCTATCTATTTCTAATTGGAATTTTTTGGATGCATTAACTAGCAAATTCACACCAAATCGGGCGATTTAGGGTTTTCTAATATTACAAAAATTTTTAGTGACTTTCCGTAAGTATGCTTGGCGAAGAGCATAATAGAACGATAAAAAAATTTTTTTTGTTTACTTTTGCACATTTCTACTTTATAGTTTCTACTTTCATTGAGTGTATAATGGTGATGACAGCTAATCAGATTTAATGATGATTTAATGCTAAAAAAAATGACAAACGTTTAAAAATTTTAATCAGCTGTTCTTATCCCCATAAACATTCCATTATCATAACAGTTAGTTAAAATTATCGTCATTTCTTTAAATTTATTTTAATAAATGAGCCTAATTTATTTTTCTAAAAACATTATAGCTATAAAATTAAGTGATTTAGGCTTTTGAAAGGAAAACAGCGAAAAGTATAATATAACTCAAATTACAAAGTGCCTTATTATCGAATTATTTAAAGTGACTTTCACGTTTATCAATTTAACAATCCTTTCGAAAAGTCGATTGGCAAAAATTTTTTCGCATTTTGTCTCTTGGATTGTGTAGAATTGCAAGGGAAAATTGTTCATTTACTTCATATTCTGTTCGTTAAAAAAATTTCGAGAAAAAATTGTACACGAAGAAGTTGTTAAAAAATTCGTCACTAATCAACTGAATTCGCTAAATCGATCGAATCGAGAAAAGAAAATTTGTTTAAAATTTTTTGAATTTAAAATTATTTCTATAGTGAAATTACTTTCATGTTATCATTCTTTTAAGCATTATCTTAAACTTTTCAACAAACATTCTAAATTCGATCGACTTGCAATCATTTTCTTAATTAAATTCTTCGTAGTCATCGTTAAGGAATTCAACATATTATTAAAATAAACGTTCATTAAATTACTAAAATATCATAAAACCATAAAATAAAAATATTTGCCTTTTTGTTTGTTTGATGTTAAGATAATATTCGGATTATATGGAAATTTAGTGTTTAGATGAAAGAAATCGCAAATGCATGCTTTAACTATTTGAAAATTTTTACTATAAGGAATCAAATCAATGAGAACAATAATTCAACCGATGATGCGATGATGATGATGCAATGATGCGAGAAGATTTATAAAATTATTTATTTTAAATTATTTTAAATCATTTATTTAAATAAATTCATGAATTTTTACCAGAAATAATTTCGAAAGCATTAAAAGCTATAAGTACTCATAAATTGGTACTGAAAAAAGCCTTAAATTAAAGAGTAGAGAACTATATCAGCTAACTCGTATTATTCGAGATTTAAAAGCTTATTCTTAAAATAATCGAGAAATTCGAAAGAATCGCTCACTTGCCAAATCATTGATTTGTTAAATCTACTTTATGTTACTTCAAAAAGAACGTTTAATAAGTTCCTTTGTAGTTGGGTTAAAAAATATTTGAAAATATTGGAGTGCTATTTATCTATAATTGTATAGACTATAGGATCTGCATAAATCGATAGGAATTTTTCTTCCACAACGACAGAATTAATTTTTTATTGCTTCTCTACATTTTAAAAGTTGACTTGAGGCACACTAAATTTCATTACTTCTCAAATTCATTGCTGATATTTTTGCTGATACTTCTTGGATTAAGCTGATAATTTTATAGACAATAAAGCAATAAAATTGGCATTTATGAAAAAATATTGCGGCTGAGCTTTTCTACTGGCTATTCGATCCTTCCATTATAACCAAAACACGAACAATTTACACAAACAAATCAGATAAAATTTTGCAGAATGGTCATTTAATCAGTATCGGTCTTCCATTTTTAACTATGCCGTGCTATCATTTGCAATAAAACACTAATTTCAGGCTAAAATTAGCGATACTAAAACTAATAATGGTTTAATTCTTAAGAGACTGGCATTTATAAAAAATAATGTGGCGAAAAAATATTTAGCATGATGTCTTATGATTATAGTGATTTCATCACACCAATCCTTACAAAATTTTTTATGGAGTAACTAATATATAAATTTTATGCCATAATGGTGGAATGATTCAGATAATATGATAATATGATATGCCTAGTCGGTTTTCTTTTCCTTTTCTCTATATATTTCATATTTTTTAACAAATTGGCTGCCTATTTTATTAGTATATTAATGCATTTCATTTCATAAAGTGAATGAAACTAATTAAGCTAATTAAGTAGCTTTTCATCGAGAAATTAAAAATGCACTCAAAAATCCCTAATATTATAAAACATAAATATTATAAAAATTCCTTTACTGAGGCTGTCTTTTGCAGATCTGAAAATAATTAATTATTCAAACTCATTCATTCTGCAACAGTGTTTCAAACTCTTCGTTCTGAGCACCTCTACAAGCTCGAAACACTTATTTAAGATCTTGTAAGAGCATTTGCTCATATGTGTTGCTATACCTCCCAATACATTTTAGAAATGAATACTGAGGAATTACTGAACAAATTACAATATTATTGTATTGGTATTATGAATTGCTATACATTACATAGTAATATGGCAAATTTTTTGATCTCGAAGACCACAAAATAATAGCATAACACAGGGCAAGAAGTTCGGAAACATTTTCGAGGCAAAATTATCCGTAACAAAATATTTTCTGCTTTAATCTTCGATCCAAAAGCGACATGTACTAACAAAATTTTTGTTTGCCCTCAAGCTTAATGATTCTTGTAATATATTCTTCGGAAAAGAGCATGCTTTTTATGAAATCGCTTCGATGTAATTTAAAGCTACATTATTTCTATCAGAGTTTTGTTGCATGAAACGTTTGTTAAAAATTTTCAATATCATAAAAATCTTATAGAGACAGGATAGACAAGTTGTTGGTAGCTTAGATTATCTCGTTATTAGTCAATGGCTCATGCCTTCGACACTGATAGTACTAGTGATCCATTCTATATCTATTGCCAAGTGATTCTCTGGCAATAACAATTAGTAAAGCGATCCTTACCAGCCATTGTGAGCGTTCCCTCATTCATATGAAATAACCTGTTCATAAATTCAGTAAATCCCGATTCATGAATTATTTTATCAAACTTAATTTGACGACTCGAACCATTTCAGAGAACAATATGCAAATATTAAAGCAAGGTCCAATTTACAAATATACACAAAAAGTTTGTTAATTTTATTCAATTAATTAATTATTCAACTAAATTTTTATGAAAAATCGTTGTTTTTTTTTGAAAACTGAAAAACTTTTTCTTTATTTTTTTTTAAATTGATTATTAGCAATTTAATATTTTTAAATTTAACTAAATTCTCTTAAATTTAAATATGAAAAGTTTGCTTCACCTTAGTTCGTTTTCATCATATCAGTCATGGATTAAGATACTTAAAAATTAAACCAGTGTGAACCAAAATAGATAATATTATAAAAAAAGAAAAAATAACTTATCGATAAGTGTTCTAAGTGATGTGGAGCGCTTTTCGCACCCTTCGATGTTCTTTTTCCTAATACTTTACCTCAGATTTTTCCACACTTATTAAAATCCTATAAGATTATAAAGCCATCAGCACTTTTTGATGTGGAAAAAATTTGAGGGCAAGTGGAATGATGTTTGGTTTCTATATGCATACGAAGCTGGTCGACCGCAATTAATGATTTATAAGGATTCAAGTGCAAAAAAAGTGATCGGACAGAAGTAAGCAGTGATGGGTTGATTTTTTTACTTGTTCTTTATATTTTTCAAACATCTTTTTTACTTTAGATTGATTTATTAATATTCCTTCAAAGGCTTACCTTCCAGTTTCCCTTAGATCTACCTCTACAACAATAGGTCTTGGAAATTTAAGGATTGATATGGCCAAAGCTGCAGAAATGATCCGATTCGGAAGCACTTCTCGAGCACTGGTGCCACAACCAGATCCTAGTTGTAAAGATATTCGTATCTGTGAAGGAGGCTACATTGTCCTTCATGTCGAAACAACGATCAAAAAAACCACCGAAATCCGGGCAATATGGCTTTGTGCACTTTCTATTCTTGATATGTATGATTTGGTGAAGGTGGGCGATAACTTATGTGAATTAGTAAATTCAGTGGGCTGATTTTTAGGTTCACATCTCTCATGATAATATTATCCGCTGCTTAACACAGCTGATTATTATTATTATTATTGTGAATATTACTGTTTTGAATAAATTTGACAGATTCAAAATTACCAACTAAGATCAAATATTTCAAAGAAAATTTAATTATAAAACTCAGTGATGTACTTAAAACTTTTGTCAATGCACCAAATGCCAAATTTTCAGCAAAATTTTTTGTGAAGAATAGAAAACGAAAATTCTACTTTTTATTTATTTATTGCAACGAGTTCAAACTAAGTTAATTCTCAGTTGTGCTGTTAAATTTATTATATTGCAATTAAATGGTTTATATTAATGGCCTTTTTTTCGAGTATACTTAATAGAGTATATTTCGAGTATATTGTTAAGCCAAAGATTTTTTCGCAAAAAGTATGAAGGCCGCATGCGAGCTTCAATAGGGCTTTTATAAATCACAATCTCCTCGGTTGAGAAACATACAATCAAAAAACAATTGATTCCTAAAGATCCGAAATTATCATTCTTTTATGAGATATAAAAACAAATAGAATTCAGGTGCACTCAAAGTGTTTAACAATGATGCAATTTGAAGCTCCGATATTTGACACGAACGACTCAACTTGCTCGCTGCATAAATATTCGCCAATCCCATTTCATCCCGAATCAGACTGGGAAAAGTATAAGGAATTTTTTTTCTTAAATCATCTTAAATGGAAATTCGACCACTTATAAAATTTTTTCGCTCTGTGACAGCGATATATGATTAATTTTTTTTTATATATGTTTTGAAAAATTAATATGAGACATGAAATATTTTTGAGATGTCAAAATATTTCCAGATTTTACGATAGCCCACCTCTTTATTTGCAGCGCATTCCAAAAACAAGAAACTTCATGGGCAGGTTAGGAAGTTTTTCACTAATTTAATGTAAGTTGAAAAAAGAATTGAAAAAAGAAAGAAATAAGCCGACGATAGATTAATTAGATTTTCAATGCAAAATGCAAAATCCTGTTAAGAATATTAATTTTTTCTGGATTATTTCCGAATGAATGAGAAATTAATTGTAAAATCTCTATTTAAACAATTTTTAAAATGCACTTTTGTTTCTAAATAGGTTAGTTTTTCTTGCCTCTGGAAGAACGCCTATGTTTAATTTTTAATTAACAGTTCCATATATTAGAAGTGCGAGTATTGACGAATTGTCGGATAAGAAAACCGTGAAAATACTAAAAAAGAAGAAGGACAAAAATTCCTCAAAAAGTTTATCAACTCTTCATGAAATTTCAATGACCTGCAAAAGCAGTTGTTCCGGCGTATCGAAGCTAGTTTTTCTATTAAACCAAGATGCGTATTTCACTTTTTCAGTGATTTCAATAGTTCCATTCGACAAATACCGATAATTTATCCACTATTCAATGAGTTCAATTTCTTCGAAGTTTATAAGCACACTTCATAAACCTTAGTACTCTCTTTATAAGAGCTTGGGTGAAAGAGTTATATTACAGGTAATAGCCATTTAGAAATGGGAAGAATACGACTTAAAATTAGGAACAAGGATTAACTGAACCCAAAATATAAAAATGGTGTTTTCCTATTACTTTTCAATTCATAGTTATTGAGTTTTACTTCGGAAACAATAACAAATTTTCAGGAAATCAAGCATACAACAAATTAAACCGATAATAAGTGAGGTGCTTTTTAAAATATATGCTCGTGAATGTAGCCTTGATACTCAAATTTTTGCCAAAATTATTGCTTTATATTATCTGTTCTATATAATCCCTATCATTGCTCTTTTCCTGCCAGTTTTCGACTAGATCGGCTAAAATTTTTTCGGATCTTAGTCAAATTTCTTTCTAAATTTTGGTTCCACACTTAAAGATGAGAAATAAGATCAATTTATATCAATTTTTATTTTATAATGACCTAGCATACCACAATATAACGCTAAATAATTGTTATTCTTTCCAGTTTATGAAACCAGTTCGTGTTTTCTCACTACGACGAAACTCCGAGATTGGTGATAGGCCACCTATTGCTCCAAAACCTGATTGCCTAAAAAAAATGATGAGCGTCTCAAATTATGACCATTTGGCCACAGATATCACAGTTGTATGTTCCTAATAACTTATTTAAGAATCAATTTTCAATTATAAAGTTATATAATGACAACTTAAATCCAACAAAATCTATTCCTAATCAATTTTGAAAAAATAACCCTACAAAAAAAGCCTTTAAAAAATTCAGTATCTGATGACCAAAATTCTCTTAAAATGTTGCAGTCACCTGTTCCGATGGAGCGCCAACCATTGATAAATTCGATTCATACTATTAACCACTTGCCACCTGTAGCATCAACACGGACAGCATTTAATAGTGTAAAGGTTGGTGGCAAAGGTTTTTTAAAGAATTTATCTAAATTGAATAATAAAGAACCATTTGTAAAATTTAAAATCGAAAAATTACTAGAAACAAATTTTCCGAGAGAATATAAATTGAAAGTGATTTGCTTAGCGCTTACCAACTGTGGTTAGGATCATTTTTTTGGTTGTTCGTAAGGTTCGAAATTTTTACCAGAGAATTATTTAGAGATAGAAGTACAAGCAGGTTTTCACTCAGCACCACTCAGATTTTTTTAATAATATCGTTGTTGTGATGATCCAAGCAACAACCCTGCCTCACTAGAATGAATGTACCACAAACTGTTTATCTATATTTTAAATGCAAAAAGCATAAATTAAATAATTTTGGCGAAAAAAAATACGTGTTGAGCTGTTATTTTATACCTAATAGAAATATGACGATTCTTAAGGTTCAAACAGAAATGACAATGATCGGTACGAATTCAATGTATGAAACACGATTTGTTGAAAATCCTCCTTCTATCAAGGAATATTTCGATGAGAATAATATGTATTTAAAACAACGTGTGGATGAACTGCATCGTCATGAGGAAAATAAGGAGAAAACTGCGGAGGAACAACTGGAAAAAAAGATAGAATTAAAAGAAACAACAATCAGTAGTGGTGATGTGATTCCACACCAGTAAGAAAAGCTGAAATTTAATTATCGCCATTTATATTTTTGGGTTACAATTTTCTGACTCTGATTTCTGACTTAAAGTGAAAAGTGATCAGTACTCATCATTCTGAGTTAGGCTCACTCCACCAGCTCCACTTGTTCGTAGAATTATTTTCTACGAAATGTCGGAACTTATATATGAGAAGAGACAGGATACAGAGGCAGAATCATTCTGGCGATAAAAGAACCATAGATAAGGCTTTTTGACGCAAGGTTTACTCCAGGTTTCCTGAAGGAAGGAGAAGATGAGACATGTGACTTAGTCACAGCCACTCGTCCATTCTGCATAACATGGAACTTTACTTTTTATCTTGTGCGTTTAATGAATGCAACGCTTCGTCTGATCGGTCAAAATCTGATTCTATTTCGGTTAATGAAGAATTCGAAGCACACTTTATACCGTCCAGTCGTCAGTTATTATCACCAATGCGCTGAATTCTATTTCACTAAGCATTGCGAGCATTTGAATAAGATTTTCAACTACATTAAAGCATTACATATAGAATATTAAAATGATCCATAGGAGGTTTTTAAAAATCTAATAATTCGCATTTAGAAAGCATTTTCAATCAGAATTTGCGTTAATCGAGCCAAAAAGCATCGAATTTATCAACGATAATATGAAAATGATTGCGGTTGAACTTTCAGAATAACGTTTTAAATCATCTAATGCGAATGTGAATTGATTATTTTGTATTAACTTTCTTTATTTCAAACTATTTTAAATTAGAGTTGAAAAAGTCATTGCTTCTAACTTGTAGTAGAATTATTTTCTAATTTTCTACAGAATATTGCGGCTTATTAGAATTTCTATATTGAGAATAATTTTTCATGTTCCTTGAATACTATAAATCGCCACACTGTGGAACGAAACGAACTAAACGAAATAAAATTGTTATAAGTGTCGTTTGGCATATTTATATCGTCATTTTTAAATATTTTAAAAATATTTATCATTCTCGAAAATAAAATAGGCTCCACCGAAACAATGGCTTTGATTTTTAAAAGTTAGAAGCATTCATCTATTGATGAAGAAATCGAATGCCTCGATGAGCTACTTGCTTAAAAAAATTTCGATATCATATAACATATTACATACGCATTTATTTAAACGAATGCTGTAATGGGACGACAAGTGAGAAGCGAAAATGGAAGTTTTCATGTTAAAAGTTAATTTAGAATAATAAAAAGTATTTTCGATTCATCATTTTTACGACTAAATGATATTCTTTTTTCTCGAAGATCATTGAAATTCACAGAATTATTTGATCTTAAACGAATAAAGCTGTATGTGATGGCTTTTTTCGCTCTTCACAGCTTATTATAGTGGAATGCCTAAGAGTAACGGGTGCTGATTGACGATGGGAGCTATAATTATAATGCAAATGGCCCGTTGGTGTTGAATAGTCACCATCCGTCACAGTAGCTGATACGCACTTTCTAGTCAATGATAATTTACTGAATCTTCGGCCGATCTTGCTTTCCAAAATTTTTGAAATTTGCCGCTCCATATTGCGTTGAGTTAAGCGATAAAGTCGATTTCGAAAATGTTTACTCGACGAACAAAATAGGATAAAATTACAAGCTTTTCCATAAATTACCAAAGTGCTGAAATTTTTAGGATGTTTTTTAAGTTGTCGAATTAGTTAGCTTAGTTCCAAAACTTTTTTAAAAAATTTTAATTCTCGATTTGGTAAATTATTTTAATTTTTATTAAGGAATGCTTTATTATCTTATTTATCTTATTTCTTACGTTAAATTTTTTACTGAAAAATTGAAAAGGTTAATTCGAGAAAATTTAAAATATTTTTCAAATGTTTTATCTATGATTTCATGGCAATTGCCATCACCACTCACATTTATTCATAAATTTCTTCCGACATTGTTTTTTTCTCAATTATTTCGTTATTCCTATTTGATTAGTACAAAAAAATTATATTTTTTTTTCTTTAGTTAAATACAACATGAAATTGGAAAATTTTTTTAATTTTTTTAATTTTAAAAAATTTTTAAAAAATTCGAAAGCTTACTTGCATGTAAGAGTTAAATTATATGATGCCAAAGAAGGATAAACGATTTGCAATAAATGATAAATAGCCGAGGGACCATTCGTAATGGTGAATACCGTCACGATTAAAGCCACTGCTAATGTAACTCGTTGCTCAGTCTTGTGACGGGCTGTGGTAGCCCTTTTTTGCCTGAGACCGTGCTTCGTTGAGAATCTAGTAAATATTACAGGAACAATGGATTTCTAAATTCAGCGCTATTTGCGGATCATTATGGAAACAAGGATGAGAATCTTTGTTATTAAATTTTCTTAATTATATTTTATTGAAAACTTTTCTTTATTTTTCTTTATATGCTTTGCATTAATTATATGCTACAATATAACAGTGTAGCGTACATTTTTTATCGTTATCAATTATGCTTAATTAGAAGACTTCATTAATTATAGATTTGAAAAATCTTCATTTTCCTCTCTTAATTTCAAAATTTCACTAAATTAATTGTTGGGGACTTTTGTGTTTGCGAAGATAATATAATTTATGCAAACGATAAGGTGAGCTGATTGATCAAAAAATCTGATCACACATTCAGTATAACTTAAAATGTCTGCTAGAATAGCATTTTAAAAATTTTCGGGCCATCTTTTGGATCACACTGGTTATGAGCGAAAATTTGAGAAATATGCATGACTAATGCTGTTTGTTATGATACATAGAAACATATAATGCTATGTTTCTTTAAAATCGTTATAATATAATAATAAAATATATAATAAAAACAATGAAAAAACCTGTTATTGCAGATATGTGTGGTGACAAGAAAGCGATTGCGATTGTGGAGTGTAAGAAGAAGAAGCGTGTTAAATAGGGTAAGTAAAAATATAGGCAAAAGTATCATCGTAATCACATTCAGCATCACACTAGCATCGAGAAAGTTTCGAAACGACTTCGAGTAGGGATTGGTTCGATTTCCAAACCAATTTCTGCAAACAAAGTTATGGTTTACTAAAAAAATAAAGAGTAAAATTGTTCTAAAATTATTATTCCAGCAGTGGTAAATGGTTCCTCAGTGAAATAAATAAATTTGATGTATAAGCAAGCTATGTGTAAGAAAGTGAAATAACCCTTTCTTGTTAATAGGCAAACACTTGGAATAAATTTGTGTTCCCCAGCAATATGATCGTACTAAGCAGTGGTACTGAAAGTGTTGATACAGGCAAGCGAAGCCAGTAAGTACAACAATTGACGAAATTACCATCGGCGTCCAGTACCACTGCCATTGTTTTTTTGCAATTAATGGCTTTCGTATGCCTATTAGTCGGTCTGCACATACAGCTATAACGCACCTGAAACAAATGTGATATTTACTTTCGCTGATTTTCTCTCAGCTTGAAAATCCTTTTTTTCACGGACTATTCTTATAGTTTGTTTTAAATGAAGTAACAAATATATTAAATATTGGTTGGAGGCCTTTAGTAGTTCCAGTTTTGTGGCAAAAAATTTTACTTATTTTTATTAAGATTTAAGAGCACTCACCATAAGTGATTAACTCGCTCCACTGGCTTGTCGGCTAAGCATATATGCCAGAAAGTCTCTTGGCGATAGAAGTACTGGTGAATCGCCAGCATCAGCTAGATTTTTGGACAGGTTTACTCCTGCTGAGAGTAGAATTTTAGTATCGACGCTCCGAATTGAGCAACAACCTACCGGTCCATTCTACTCTCCTTTGCTTTTCTCAGTTAGACTGTGGCGTCCGAAGAAGAACGCGGATTTGAACGCATCCTCTACTTTCAGTAGTATTTATTTTTCCGCTAAGCCACGGATATTTTTGTTCAGATAGGAACTGTTGATTCAATCTTAACTTGAAAATCTAATTAGGCTCATCGCCGAAGCGGAACATTACTTTGTTTCGATTAAAAATAGGCGTTCAATTCATATTTCTTTGACTCATGTAAGTAAATCATTCGTTAAAACTGAAAAGTGCTTCTCAACCCTTTTTATCTCATTACTGCCTTCTCAAACTTCCCCTATGACCTTTTCATTCAGAAAGTTTTCGTTTTAGAAATATGAATTGGATTTAGGACTCAAAAATGATAAAACTTTAAAATTATGAATTTGAGACTGTTTTTTCAGTACAATTCAGTACAGTATTATTCCTTGAGAAATATTCCTTCTTTTAGCTCAAAAGACAAACTAAACTTTATTTCGGTTACAACAAACATGTTTAGCAGAGCAGGCGCATTTCGCAAGTGGTGGAATGTTAAACGCTGCTAATGAGATTTTGATCTTTGATCTTTACGCTTATAAACTGGGAAAAATTGAATATATTTCACAAATCCTAAGTCTCAAAAAAGAAATATTCCAAAAAATAAAATTAATTTTGAAATTCAAAATAATATATTTTGTTGAACGAAAATTTTTAGTGCGAGCCTTGCAGTTGATTGGAAAAAGCAATTTTTCGTACATTTGACTGGGAATTCGTTGAATGGAACCGAGGGTCTATTTCTTATTATTATCTCTAATTATTTTCATAATTTTCAGTCAAGATTTTTAGATAAAACTTAGAATAATTTTTTATAATTTTATAGAATTCATATAATTATATAATTATAAATTTTCGAATAGAAAATAAATTTTTTATATTCTAACACTTCTAACTTAGCATTTGAATTCCTTGCATCTTTCCAGACTTTTTCTGTGACTTTTCCAGGAATGTTCCACTGCTCCCATTGAAAAAAATAAGCATCGCAACCAAAAAGTAGAATAAATAACTAACTTTTTACTGTTAATCATCATATTTGCCACTTTTCGCAAAGAAATTAGATAAAAGTTACAATTTTTTGGAAATCTTTTTTTCAAATGAATTAATTCCGCGTTTCTCCATGAGAAGAGTTTTTATCACGTAGAATTTAAGCAAAATTATTTCATTTATAGCTAATTCAGAAATTCGTTATTTTACATTCGCTTAATCATCAAAAATTTGCTTCTAGAAATTTTTTTTCCTCAAAAAGCCTTTACAAACTTTCAAATTTCTTATTTTCATAAGAGATACACTCGATTTTTCATATTCTCTTAAAATATTCTTTTTTGCTATTAATTTTTTGCTTTAATTTTTCTCTAAATATAGTGAATCTAAGAAGTAATTTTCGAAGAAAACTTTGTTATAATTCTTTATATAAATTCTTTATTAGTCTTTCTTAATCTAGTAATTTTTTTTAGAATAAATTTATTACATATTCATTAAATGAGTTTTTTCCAAAAAAAACTTCTAAAACTGTGTTCAATTTGGTTTTCATTTAGAAGATTATTTCTTTTTTTCGACGACTAGACTGAAGAGAATTATTGGCATTTTCTCTTATTTCTTTTTATTTTTATTTTGTATATTTATTTTATATACGTCATAATGTGATTTTAAAAAATGCTTGACAAAGCACAAAAATCATTGCCACAAGAAGGGCACTTTTTGCGCAAAATGATGGTGAAGTGACAAATTAAATTTTTTTCCAAAAACCGCCACCATTCCTCACTACACTCGCTGTACTAGCTTGTAGGGGCAGATGAATCAAGCTTTATCGGATGGTCACTTGGTGATAAAAGTACTGCTTAGTTATTAACATCATTCGTGAAAGCAGGTTTACACTTACCGCAAGAAAACCCCAATATCAGCACTCAAAAACGAGAGCAAGAGTGTCCACTGAGCGATCATACCCACCCCCGAACTTTATACAGCAATAGTATTTCAAGACCATTTTTTTATTTAAGCAAGCTCTATAAAACCAAATTTTATGCAGCTAATTAAATTAATGTAATAGGAAAAGAACAAATATCGTGAGATGAGCCCAAGGCGATGAATTACAAAGTGAAAAAAATTAAAATGTTGAGTAATGGTGTAGGTGATTAAATATATTTCAATTTTTCTTTTGAAATAACTAACAAATAACTGAAATAACTGAAATATTTCTAAGTTTATTGCTTAATGAAATTGTTGTGTTTAGAGTTTTTAATAATTGGTATCGGCGAAAAGAGTGAAAACAATTTTATTCGCTTCAATCTACTTAAATATTTTAAATGAATAAATTATTAAATGCGCTTTTTGTAAAAATATTGCGTTGATAAACTTGCTCAAATATATCAATAATATCACCGAATTCTATAAATGTATTATAAGTAAAACTTTTCCCTGAATTAGTGAAAAAATTTTTTTATTGTCGCGCGAAGGTATGAAAGGCATTAGTATTAATTATATTTTGATTAAATTCTGCATGTTAAAGCGTTTAATTCGACTAATTTAATTCCATTTTTGGATTTTCTATTTAGCTTATAATATAATGTAATATAGGACATAATAATTCATGCTTTAGACCATATCCAGCAATGTTTGCTTTCGAGAGAATTCGCTATTATTTGAAGTGTAATGGCTTTATGATTTAATAAATTTTAAACCAAACGCTGTGACGCATGCATATTACGATGAATATAAAGCCGCGAAAGCAATAAAATTTCAGGAATCGACGATGCTTGGGAGATTTTTTCGATTCATGTTGAAACTGCCCTTATGGCTTGAATTATACGTCCATTTTTCAGTCAAAGCTTTTTTTAGATTTTTAAAATTCGGTATTTCTGTTGAAGTTTCATGCATTAAATTATCTTAATCTTTATTTAAAAAGAGAAATTAAATGTTAATTAAGAGCGATTTTTATGTAATTAAGTAATTTTTGGATAATTCCTTTTTGTATCGACTTCAAAAATTGCACTTAGTCAATTGTCCCATAATTTCTGCTCAGCATAACCTTTTTATTTCCAATATAATTAAAAAAAATAAAAGCAATTATTAAAATGATTAAATGAGCTATTAAACCTACTCTTTCTATAAAAGTCCACTATTTCTATTACTGCCACCTCCACTCAATATTAATTATAGTGCTATGCCAATTTTTCAGAGCCATTTGAGATATTGAATTAGAACTCAATCTCCCTTACACTGTACCCTAACTCTGGTCACCTGGACGCCACTTTTAATGGCAAATTCACTTTCATCATGAAGCGTTGAACTATGCATCGAAAAAGTTCAACCGTTCCTGTTCAGTCAAATTTTTTGAGGAAAAATAAATGAAAAACAGTACAAAATCTGCAAGTTGTAGACAAACAATTTGATTTTATTTGTATAAAAACAAAAAAAAATTAAATTTTTAAAGGAAATTCAGTAAATAGAACTTCTTCTAGATGGACAAACTATTCTTTTCAATAAAATAGAATTCCATGATTTTTTATTGGAATTAATTTAGTAGTTCGGCTAAATAGCGAATCTATTAATCGAATGTTTGAAATAATTTTGCACTTAGAAAATAAAAAAAAATTTTCTTTAGGATCAACTAAATTAATGAATCTTAATTAAATTTGCTAGATTGTTAGTCACAATTATTTTACTGTAAAGTTATTTCCATGCTTAGCCATAAAAAATAAAAAAATAATAAATGAAACGAATAACGGAGAAAAAAAAACTTACCAAATGGCAACACTTGATGACCAATTTGCGAGTGCAATTAAATGAATCTTTGCATGAAAATAAAAATATCGATATGCATAACTATGCGTAAAAATCGGATAATTTGCAAGGATATTTGGAGACATTAAAATTAGAAATAAAATATCAGAAAATGCCAAAGCTGATAGAAAACAATTCGACCTGGAATACGACAAATCTAAGCCCTCATCGGAATACGCATGTTAAACAGTAAACCATTTATTGTGGAAGTTGTTATATTTTAACCTCATTCAGTTTTTCGGGCAAATAATGACGACTAAAATATAAATCTTAAATTGTCACATGGATATGTTATTTTATGACTAAAAAGTCAGAAAATTGCATAAAATAAATGGTCATTTGCTTGTCGATTTCAATATTTAAAATAATCATGCAACAAAATAATCACCCAATGAATAGAGCAAAATTATAACACAGATTTATCATAAAATTTGCAATTCGAAATTAGACTTGGCTTATTAGACTTAATTAGGCTTATTTAGCTTTTTTAAAAGAGGAAGCGCTCTTTTTTGTGCGAATCCATTCAGAATACTCGAATAAAAGATAGTTAGAAATGCGAAATTATCTATGAATTTTGACAACAATCAACTGTTCGACCAATTAATACCAATCAAAATCAACTGATATTTATTATTCGTATACATTTTCTTATTTCATAGAAATTAAACCAAACCGGAAGACTTCTACTATTTCGGCTAATCAGACACATTAATGAACGAAAAGAGAATAATTAATTAATCCCGTTATCCGATAAGCCAAATTTAGTCTCATTTTCTCCAGAAATTTTTTATTTTATGTGTTTTATTTATTAAATTTTATAGGCGAATGAATTTATATGATGTGTTAAAGCCAGAGCTAATTATAAATCATAATGCACTAATTAAAATAAAAATATGTGATTTTTATTTGATATGTGGAATAGAACTTGTGGTTGGAAAAGAAGGCTAGCCTTATATTCCATCCCAAATTATCGAAATGGCAAATGGAGAAGGTTAAAACTCCCGAAGAGAGGTAGAATACTGGTAAATTTATTTTTGAATAAATTTAAGAATCCCAGCGATTATACTCGAATGATTCATATACAAAATAGTCATTGCGATTTTTCTTTTTGAACTGCCTCCAATGTAGGGGAAAAATAAGATTTTGCTGATTGCAATTCCTTAAATTTCAATTTACTAAAGATAAGTAAGTAATAATGAGCTATAGTTTTTAATTATATCCTGAAAAAATTGGCACGCGGCATTGGCAAAACTATTATGTTAATTTCACTAAAATATGTAAAATTTAAATGTGTAAAATCTAAAATGTAAAATTTGCATTTGAAATCTGTGAAAATTTTTCGAAAATTATAAAAAAAAGTTGCTTGGAACTTGGTACAAATTGCAATTTTTTTAAAAAGGTCATGAAAATAGTGGATAAATATCTCAAAAAAGTTTCTCAATAAATCAGTTTAAATTTCTGCTGATAGGCCAACAATCGCAAAAAAAGATATCAGTGGAAAAATTCACCTGCTTCTCATCGATTTGTTAAGTAAAACGGTTAGATTAAGCAAATTTCCAGCAATGCCAAATACAATAATGCATGGATAAAAATATCGTTGAAGATATTTTTCAGCTTCATTGCCATACATTCGCAATTGTTGCGATGTTAAGCATATCTGTGTTAAATTAGGTAGCATTCCAAATCTTATCGAAATTATAACTGAAAATCAAAAGCGTAAACCTAAAAATGGATTGCGGAATGAACTGAATGACCAGGAGATTTGTCTTTAAAAAATGATCGATGAAATATTTGTTAAAGTGAGTGTCACTCAATTTTTCAAACTTTATCTCAATAATTTTCAGCAGCTTTTACGAAAAATGATATTATTTGAAGTCCATTTTAATATAATAAGCCAGTGAAAATCGCTTGAATTTTCTCGAGGAATTATTCACATCATTGCATTGTTTAAAGTGAAGTTTCTCAACGATGTTGTCATACAAGATAAAGTAGATCTAAGTATGATCATATCCACGCAATAATGGCGTTAAATTTACTTGCAAATTTTTAAATAAGAATAAACAAACCAATTCTATGAAAATTTTTATGTAGGGAACAAAATATAGATTTTTCAAAGTGGTACCATATAAGTTAATAACCAACTTAGATGAAATATTCCCACAATAAACTGTTTAAATTAAATTATTTAAACAAAATTTCATGTCAAGTAAAAACACTTGTTAAATAAGTAGGAAAATTAGCATTGTAAATTTATGATCGTTATTTGAAAGAATAGAAGAATTTGTAAGAAAATTTGCAAATCGAGTAAAATAGCCATAAGACATTTATGCAAAATAAAATTAAATGCCATAATAAAGCATCTAATCGTTGGAATTTAATTATCCTACTCAGCGAATTAATTTTGCTGAGTAAAACTGAATCACCTAGTCGATTATGTAATTTTCTAACTCTCTGGTATTTGCCCTTGAATTTTTCAAATCAATTCATTTATAGAAGCTTGACATTATCGTGTGATATCCAGTATTCCATTTCACGTGATATTCGCATAAAACATGATAAAGCTGATATTTGCAGTGAATTTATTGGAATCCAATCGGTGAATATACACTGAAAAAGCAAGTGCTGAATAGGATTAGAAATGTGCAATAGGAAGATGAGGATATTGAAGTTATAATAATAACCACTTGATCAAAAAGCATTTCCATAAAAATGCTGTTTTATCAAAAATATTTGTTAATAACTTGGCAAAAACTAGTATTTGTTTAAATTCATTCAAGAGGAAGTTAAAGGGTAAATTCAGTTAATGCAGCGTTATACATCAAGACAGACTTTTGTCGCGAATAGCAGCGCTTCATTCATGCTTCGAAAACAAAAATCATGCAAGCAAGTATAAATCTGTTTGGACAATTTTGCGAGTTCTACAAAGAATGACACCGCATATCTTTCTGCCTAATCAGTAATTTATTGATAAAAGTAGCTATGATATGATTCGAAAGTCTCCCTTTTGCTAAATCTGAGAAAAATTAATTAAAGAAATTGTAGAAGAAAATTTTCCTATAAAGCAAATGAAAATTTTTAAGCGAAAATATTTTATGAATTAATGAAATCCCAGGGAAAATTGTCCATTATATTTTCAAGTATCATTAATAAATTTGATGTAACAAAGTTTTTCATATCACAGAATCAATCTATAAACTTGCATAAAATCAATTAATAATCAATTCCCATATTCAATATGTTGCTTTAAATATGTCCTTAAAGAAATATAGCATCGAGTTGAGAAGATTTAGAAGCTTCTCACCTAACCAGTAAAGTTCGCGTAAGCATTTATTGCGTGAGTTGTTAGAAAACATTTAAGGAAAGAAAAGAGTTAACTCAGATATTATATTTAATTCAGAAAAATATTGTTTATTTAAATAAATTAGTCAAATTTCCTTCAACTTTTTGGATTATTGCAAGAAATAGATTTCTTTTTTTTCATATTTACTTCATGCAAATCTTTTAAAATTCATCAAGTTTTTTTTTAGTAATAATAATAATTTAATAATAATTTTAAATTTTTTTAAATTTAATCGTTTCGAAAAGAACTAAAAATTAAGTGAAATACAAATCCATAACAATTTATAATATTTGCGATAGAGCTGCATTATTAGAAAGATAATCATATTTAAAAACATTTATTATATTTATTTAATTATAGGTTATATTTGGCATTTGTTATTGCTGTTTCGCAATTAATTAACTTATTCGCCGAGGTGATAAGTTTTAAATTCGTGCGATGCACTTATGCAAAATTAGATAAAAGTTATATGGTTATTCGTAGTATCAAAATTTAATTTTAAGAGAGGTTAGCTTATGTTCTTATGTGAAAAAAATGAATTTCGCCTAGTATAAGCAAAAATTAAAATGCCTACAGCTATTGAAAAACTGTTGAGATATTTAATTCAATGAAATTTTCTTGCAGAGAAAACTTCCTAGAAAATGTTACCAGCAATAAAATTTGATTTTACTGATTTTAGTATTTCGGCGCTAAGTACTTCATAGCGTTTTATTATTTTTATTTGAATTTTAATAAGTCATTGCAAGACTAATAAATAAATACATGTAGCAGTAACAATAATATTAGAAAACGATTTAAAGTGAGAGATGAAATTTCAGCCAGGACAGATCAGCAGTTAGGAATGCGTTCTTCCGCCTGCGTCTGGCGAAACATTTGTGAATCGCTATAAAATCACCATCACAACGAAAGTTTTTCCATCTGACTGAACTATATAAATCCTACAATACTGTGGAATGTGACAAAATGAGAAAAAATGATATCAAGATTCTGTGTGTTCCTGACCGATCTTGCCTTAGGCATATTACTTAACTGTTAGTGTCTCGCCTGATGATATCTACTATTATCTGCATTTTAAATTATAATAAAACATCATCTGTGCTACTGAGTAATATTATTCGCCTCCCACCGTACGAATTAATACATACTTTTCTACCACGTCTTGGCGCTAAAGGCTTGAAGATCATAACAATACTAATTAGATATGGCTAGAAGAGGTCTTTGAAGACGACTTAGCAATATAGGCCCTGTCAGTGGAGAAAGGTGTGGTCTTCTTAATTCCAGGTCATTGAATCGAGGGATTTGAAAACGCTCATTCCTATAGCCAGTTGATAAAGCAGAAATGATTGCAGTTTTGATTTAGCACAAAAACAATAAATGGTATTGAAAATCTGCGTGAATATAATGAATCAAGCTTATTATATTTTAAACCATTTGATTCTTTATATATCGTACCAAATGAATTTGTATTTTGCGATATTCTTCGATATTCGTTTGTTAGAGAATTAAAAATAAAAATAAAAGAAAAATAAGAAAATATTTCCGTTTAAAATTTCAATTATTTCTGGCACACTTTCAATTAATTAAATTTGAAAAAAAATAAAATTGACTGATGACTGTGAAATAGTTAATTATCCAATTTTTATTTATTTCATCTTTAAGAAAAAATTGTATAAATGGCACTTTAAAATAATATGGTTCGTGAAAACAATGCCAAATTTTCTTACTAATTAAGTTTTAAATTTTTTATCTAAGAAGGTGAGATTGCAAAGCTGAGAATATTTAACGATTGAAGATTGAAGGACAGCGGTTCTCGAAGTATATATATACTCATGGGTTTCTGGTGACTGAGATATTTTCTGGTGCCCCAAAATGTCAAAACTATTTTCACAATTATGCTATTAAATTATTTAAGGTTTTCAAATGTAGAACATATAGTAAAATGTAGTGAAATAATGGTGAAATAATGGTGCTTCAAAATGACCATTTTTCATAAAAAAGTTATAACACGTAATATAATCAAATAATGGTGAAATGATGAAATAGACTAAATATTTTAAAAATTTCTCAAATTTAATTTCTGATAAGATAAATATCGATAGATATAATTCATACAAAAAACACTTTGGAGGCTTTTCACAAGTGCAAAGAACTCTAACCCTAAGAGTAAAATTAGAGAACCATTGGTTTAGGATAAACAAATAATAAGCTATATCTTTGAAAGAACTAGTTTTAAATAGAAAACCTTAGAAACTCTCTGATCCGACCATTCTTATACAATTTTCTTTTAAAAATCTCGCTTTTCCTCTTTAGTATTTTTTATAATTTATTCTCAAATACTTCTTTTGTGCTGACCACTTCATGAATTTTTTTTATAAAAAATCTAAGGAACTGAAGTGTGAAGGTGATTTTCCTTTCCTTCTTCCATTTATTATTTTTGGTTTGGCTGATTTTAATATTTGGATGAAATTTTTTTGCCAGAGAGTCATTTGGGAAATACGGATGTAGATGAATCGCTAGCACCATTCATTAAGGTAATTTTGTAAAAACAAAGATAATGCGCCGGTTTCAACGCCCTATTTATTTATTAAATGAAAAATTATATTCAAATAAATAAAAAATTCTTCAGAAAAATGAATTTCCAAGTATATCCCAAAAAAAAAGGATCAGCCTTTTTCAAACAAATTTCCTTTTCCAGGAATTGGAAGGTTCGCTATTTTTCCACAATTATTTTATAGCTTAGCCCTTTTATTGAATAAATTGACAAAAATTCGCAGCCATAATAAATATGAAGTCTTTTAATTTCTATTTTTTCTTTTTTTTTTCAAATTTTTACTTTCAAAGCGGTTGAAAACAAAAACAAACAAAACAAAAAGAAAGCATTTTAAATCATAATTTTTAATAACTGATTTCACAAAGAGCTTTTTAGTGCTTCTTGAGATTATAAAATTAATTTTATTAACGAATTCAAAAGTGTAGTTAAGAATATTTATAGGTGTATGGTGAGGTGAATGATGATGAATGGTGAATTTGATTAAGGAACCAAATTTAATTTATTTTTTTGCGTCTCTATATTTATAATTATTTTCTTTGGAATCTGGGAATAAAAATTTTTTTTCGCCGCAATAATTCCACTGAGCATCATAAAAACGAAAAAAGAAAACTACTAATTCCTAATAAAATTGATAAATAAATGCAGGAAAAAAATTAAAAAATAAACAAAATTTAAAAAAGGACTTTATTAGGTGATATATAATTCATTAGAATCATTTTATATGGACTGAGAAAACTAACGCCCATATAATAATCGAATAAAACCTGTTACTGAATTTTATTACATTCGGAGAAAAACGGTTTGTCTAATAATTTCCCTAAGGGATAGGAAAAAAAGAGACGATGGACTTCTGAGCAGTTTTATTATTTACCAAAATCTAATTAACGATATACTTGTTGATTTTAGCAAATAGGTTGCTTCGCTGACGACAAGATGCGTAAGTTCGATTCCTGTTTCTTACAGGAGCAGCAAAAATGAAATCAATCTCTCTGTATCTCCCTTGGAATAACTATCCAGCAAAAAACTTACCTAAATTCTTCACTCTACCAGAAAATTATTGGAGAAGACCAAACCAGAAATGGTATTAGAAGCGGAATAGTTTTAATAAGCTAAATACAAGAAAGGTGCACATTATTGCTTAATTACATAGTCGCAGAGAAATATGTTGAGCAGCGTTCTCTCAAAATATGGCTAAAAAATTTTTGTGGCTTGTCAGAGATGATTTGAATAAGGAAGTATGGCACTGTTCTGATACAATTCGATGAGAATTGAGGACATATCCGTTCATTTATCGGACACTTTAGAAGATCAATAAAGAATTGCCTTAAGATTTTAATTTTGATTCAGAGTATGTTCATAAATTGAGTTCAACAACCACTCCATTCGAAAGTTCTCATCAAATAAACAAAAAACGAATTGATTAAAATGTTTGCTGTTATAAGCAAAAGATTTCATAACTTTGGGGATAACAAAACTTTAGCTATACACAATAAATAATAAAGTAGAATACAGTTATATAAGTTATATAGATATTGTTATCATTGATATTCATATTTCTTCATTTTGAGCGACACTACAAGAAATTTAAAAAAAATTAAAAATCTGGAATTTAGCAATATTTATTTATTTATTCATTAAAAAAAACAATAGTCAAGCAGAGGTAGCAAAACTATATACTTGTACATGAATCGAATCAACCAGAGGCACTCGTGCGGAGAGCAGAATTTCAACATCAGCGCTCCGAAATGGGAGAAACTATTTAGAAATTGTTTCATAAGAATATTCGATAAATTGTTATAATATTTATAACAAAGCAATAAGATTTAGTTCCATCAGAAAAGCCATTTTCATTCGCAAAAAAAAGAATCTTTTAAAAAGATTCTTTTCATTCACCTTATTCTTTTTTAACTGCCATATATACTTTCACTAATCCTTTTAAATATTTTCATCGTAACGATGTCGGTGAAATGCGCAAATATTGGACTTTTATGGCTTAACTAGCTTAGGACATTTTAACTGTGATTCGATGTATTTAGATGGTCTAATAACAATTTCTTATCCTTTCTTATTTATCATGTAATGTGAAAAATATCACTTTCGCAGCATGATAAGAATAGTATGTTTCGTATGTTTCACTGAATGCAATTATAATTTTTTCAAATTCAAATTCAAAATGGCAATTATTCTGAAATCTGTTATAAATTTAGGTATTTTTATTGTATATCCGGAAGGCGATTTTCTGAAATATATTATCATTTTTGATATTATCAGAAATATTCTGTGAGACTCGAAAAAAAATACAAAGATTTATAAGACACCTTATAATTTTATAGCAAACAATAGCAGATGAAAATAATGAGAATGATGCCTTATACACTGACAAAATACAATAAAAGATACTTTCCTAAGTGATTAAAATTCCATAGGAAATAATAATTTGTCTCTTCAAAGAAAATAAAATATTGTATATAAAAAAATTTGTATTCCCCCACTTATAAAATTCAAATTAGTTGAAAAAAATTTTTAAATAAATAGTTACAAAAAAAACATTAGCTGATATGTTAGAAAGTCTTCACGAAATAAATGGACCATTCTGATTTGTTTTCGTTTAATCAAGTTAACCAACTCAGTGAATCTCTAATAATATTTTACGGGGAAATGCACTCAAAAGAAATCATATTAATGATGCTTGCTAAGCATGCTTGCTGACCGAAGTTTATGCTAGCTAACATGCAGGCTAATTCATTAATGAGAATGGCCTCAATACAGTCAGTAATGCACAGAAATATTTGCCCTGTAAAAGCAACTAATTTTGTATTTTTTAAAATTAAAGTTATAGCCAAATTTGGATTATTTCAGATTTCGATTTCTTTCTAGAATTTTCAAAAAATCAATATAACCCACATCCTTGTAAGTTAGCTTGAATTATCATATCAATGACGCTATCTAGAATCATTTGAACTTGATTCGTATCGGTAGCACAAGTCTGGTGAATATAAATTGTTTTTTCTGGATTCGCATTCAATGCTTCAAATTTTTCTTCAATATATCGGACAGAATCATCATAAGTTTGTGGGCCTGTAAAAATTGGTATCGTGATAACTATTATATTAAAATCTCATCTCATTGCCGTGAATCTCATTGCTTAAATAGACCTTGTAGGCTTTGAATATTTTTTTAAACCCTTCAACAACTGAAACAGCCTTTTAGCCTTTTTAGCCTTTAACATCAATTTATTCGGATTCAAAGAAAGCAGCATGAATGAAAGTACTAACTATGACGCAATATACATTACCGCACTGCCTCTTTCTCCTGGATAATTAAGCTCAAATTTAAACTCAATTTTTTCGAATGTCCTGGTTATGCAACTAGAAATTTGCTCTAAAATTAGCAATTTCATTTAAAATAGAGTTGAATTTAAAAATCATAGAAGGAATTAAATATATAGAATAAAATTAAGATAAAATTAGAAAAAAAGACTTTAATGGAGCAGGAGGTATACAAATAAGCTTTAGAGGCAGTTTTCTTAACTGGATCAGCTGGATTATGTTTATAACATGACTTAACTATATGCATTTCCGCGCATTCTTCCTGCCGTGAAAATGGATGAATATCTTGTCTGGCAGAATTTTGCTTCAAAGAGATAAAAATGGAAACGAAGTTAAAATGATAGAAATTAAACAATTTACTCTTCATGATGATTAACTACTGATTCTTACCATCATATTCAGGAAACGTCACTTTTATCGATGTTTTTTTGATTTTTTCAGCAAAGAGATCCTTCTTATTTAAAAAAAGTATCATTGAAGTGTTTATGAACCACCGACTATTACATATTGATTCGAATAATCGCATACTTTCAATCATTCGATTCTACAATAGAAAACAATGGAACTTAATGTTTTAACTGGTCAGTAAAAAAAAGAGAATTAGGCGAGTGCGAGGCAAGTGATTTATGAAAATTTGATTTCATCGCTTGTTACACTCTATAATGTATAATATTGCTTAACATCACGCAGACTAAAGATAAATTTTGAGATATATTGCAGGAAAGCAGTCTTCTAGGAATTAATGGACATGGTCTTTCTTCCAAAAAAAATTAAATAGAGATCTTGGGACAAATTTTATAGTTTCGCTTGACAGAAGAAGTGTATCAAAGATATTTCAAGCAATAAAAAAAATCTAAAGAGGAGAAAGACGCGAAATAAAAAATAAAATCAGAGAATTTATTTCAAATTTTCAAATGAACAATGGCTTTGGGAATGCATCAAAATATGACCGTAAATTCTGCTTTTTACCTATTCAATACTTAAATAATTGACGTAAAAATAACTAAAATGTGAAAGAGATAGTCGAGACAAACTTCATTGAAGGTTCACATAGTGGAATCCTTAACATTGAATTTTTCAATCGAAATTTTTTTGATAAAGTGGTACTATTTGCAGTATATCCTAAACCACATTTTTTTTGGTTTATCTTTCATAAAAATCTCATGATCAGTCGAATCGATAAATATTTCTGCCTTAGTTGCTAATAGAATGCTAAGAATTATGTTCCTCAGCGAGTTCAAATTAGGAAATCGGGAATGGCTTCGAACGACGAACCCTCGCGATATTTTATGGAAATTTTTGGTAATTTTTTGATAATTGAAAGATTAATGAAAGAAGAATTACAAAATACGCATATCACAGCTAAAGTATAAGCGAATAAGCTTCTCATTTCTTACCGTTGTCTCATCTTCAAAGAGCACTTGATCGTACTCACTTATGGCAGCTATGAAAATAATTGCATTCACATCTTCGAAACAATGAATCCATTTTTTTCGCTCTGACCGCTGACCACCAACATCGAATATTCTATAAATTTGGATTCACTAAAGCACACAGCGATACTGATGGAATTAAAAAATTGGTTCAAAGGTTGCTTGTGGTGTTGAAAAGAAGAAAAACAAATCACGTTTAACAAATTTACTTAAAGCCAACCTGAAATCGACATTCTTCAACTGAAACTTCACTTCAACAATACCCGTTGTTTTAATTCGACTAAGAAGAATATCTTGCTCAGTTGGCTTATAATCCGGCATGGATATTCGATCTACCGCATCAAGGAAGCTTGAATTTAAGCAAATAAAAATTTTACATCCGATTATAAATTTACTAAGATAAATTTTTCTCGATATGGAAATAAATAATGCAAATGCAAATGCAAATAAAAAAATAAGGATTTCATTAAAAAGTGAAGGAATATAATAAATTTATAGCAATTTATATCAACCTTATAATTTTTTATGCTGCAAAGTACAATCGTCGCTTATCTGTGCGTCTACTTAATAATTTTAACTAAATATGCAGCTCTTTTTCTAAAAAAACAATTTTTTTTATGTGTTGCAATGTTTTTGTCGTAATTAACGATTTTCAATGAACGAATTTTGACCTTATATCCTAGAAAGTGAAAAAAAAAATTCGATATTTGAACTAAAATATTAAATATGTAAAAAGGAAATGAAATAAAATAAAATAAAATAAAATAAAATAAAGTTGAAATTAACTAACTAAGCAGCGGATTCTGGAAGTTGAAATTCATTGCCACGTTGATAAGCTAACTTCGAGACTCCTTTATCCATCCATAATCTTTTTAAAGCTGCAGCTAATTCGGAATTTATTGGCTCAGATTCTGAACCTGCTTTAATCACATCGAAAATCATGCGTGCATCTGCCTGAAAAATTTTTCGATGATAGATGAATTTTTTAATGATGAAATTTTGATTTCCATATTATATATTATGCGGTTGATGTTGGCGGCTTATGCATATTTCTATCACTAAATAATTCTCCGAGAAAAATTGCTTGCTCCGAAAAGCCAGTGGAGCAAGCCTAATCAGAAATGGTAAGCACCTTTAGAAAAAAAAAAAGTTCCTATTGTAAAATAAACGTCTGAAAATGAAGGATCAATAATATTCATTGATAAACTAGGATTTGCGTCGATTTCACGTCAAGTTTCCATAAAAAAGATCCTTTGGATTATTTTATTTCATCTCATTTATTTCCATCTGAATTGGAATAAAGCGATCGAATAATTTGACAGAGAAAAGAATGATGAAATTAACATTATTTTTGAACATAAAACATCTTATATTTTTAAAATGTTTAAAGGACTAAAAATTAAATTTCCAAAAGTTTTTTGTATAAATGATGTATGAATGTTCAGCAATATTAGCTTGGAAATGTCAATGAATTTGAAATCCGTCTAAAATCCTGATTGGATAAAAGAAAATGGTAATTATCAGAACTTCACTTCAACCAAAAAATGAAATGAAAGTATTATAAAAATGAATGAGGACCGAATTAAAAATGGTGTCTGATGATAAAGGTTGGAGCCACGATTGGCTTATAAAAATTAGATTAAAAAAAAAAATTAACCTCTCGTTGTTGATTCTCAAAAGAAATATTCAAGGTCTTCATGCCACGAAGTAAAGCAGCCATCGCTTGAACCGTATTGTTATAAACTACAGCTTTTTGGTTCATTATTTCTTCTTCACTGAATCCATGCGTATGAAGAAGTCTAAAATATTAAAGAATTTTAATTTTTAAAACCATAAGATTTGTTGTGCTTGTAAAAAATTTAGTGATTTTTTTTTACCATCGCTTTCTATAAAACATTTTATAGAAAATATTATAATCTTCAAGAGGGATTTCTTTTTTTTATTGTGGGAATAAATTCTGATGCATTGAAGAAATGGGAATTCGGTTGTACGTTAACATTCAACTGGAAATATCGGAAGGGCGGTCTTCATACACCAAAAAATTTGATTTTGCAAGATTAAACCCTAATGCTTTTGCAAAAACTATATCATCATGACCATGGTACAAGCATTTTTAATATAGAAACTGGTAAAAAAGCCAATTAGGTGGGACATAGCTGAGATAAAGAAATTAATATATTTTTTAAGATCGAAATCAAGAAATATCAGAAACTACTAATAAATTAAGGAACTTCAAAAGCAAATAAATAAGAGCTTATTATTATAGTTAATAATATTATAGTTAATAAATTATAGTAATAATTTTTTTCGCATGAAAATTATGCAAAATTAATCTCAAAAAAACTAAAAGCAAAAATATTCCATTATTTTCAGAATGAAAATGGAGTAGTAATTGCTCGAAATGCCTCATCCTTGTGGTTAATGTGACTCGCCAAAACTATAAATTTCAGTACAAGAAGAACGACAGCAAAAATCAAACATTTGTATCGGTCAAGCAATCCTAATTTCTATCACATTAGTAGCCTATTAGTAAAAAAATTGCTTTTTTTTGAAAAAAGTTTATAATTTGTTGGAAAAGAATATAATATTGCTTCACAAATTTTATTTGCAATAAGTGAGAAAAGAATTTTGTGGAAAAATTTTTCATACAATTTCTAAAAAAAACTTTTGAAGGCTTTGTTAAGCATGAAGCAAATTTTTCTTCAAGCTCTTTCTCAATACAATCATTGCAAAAATCAAAAATCTAGCTCCAAAATTCACAATGATTTAAAATAACTATTTATATAACAAAGACTAGAGGTTTTAGAATTTTGAAAGCCTCTTCGATAGCCAAGCAAAGGCCAAGATCCTCTCCTTGGAGCCTATAGATGTGCTCTCTTGTGTATGCTTTTAAATAAACGATATAAATACAAATGCAAGGGAAGAGCGTCTGATATAAATAATGTTATTAAAATATTTGTAAATACTATTGGCAATAAAGTTACTGATATTGATAATACTACTATAGTTCGTATCCACATGCATTCATAAATAAAGCACATATTCAATTTCAGTTAGCGGAAAGAAAAATGAAAAATATTTTCTCACCTGATTTCACGGACACTCAAAGAGCCCATGGGTACCCAGTTAAGAATCCCTAACATTAAATGAAATTAGCAAAGTAAATCAGACTTAATGTAGGACTGGTCGTTCATGATATATTCAATCGTCTCTTCACGAATTGCATATATGTCACTATCACCAACTTCATTATGGCCATGGCATTTTACGAAATCATAGAGCCCCATAAGTTCTAAATCAAATTTTCAAATGACAGAAAAATATCGGCGAAATTTTCTTTTCGAATTACCTCATTTGTTTGAGCACCGTACTTTTGCCACACTCTCCTGCTCCTGAAATTGTTTGTAATGGATTTTTTAAAATCAGATATCTAGTCCATATTTTTCAAACTTAACATGTTCACTACTAAAAAGAAATATACTAAAGCATCCAAAAAATTTTTATGCATTTATTTGAAATTTAGAAAATGTGAACCACAGTCCGTAGTATGTGATTGTATGTCATTTATGCAGAGCCGATGGCATAAATTTGCCATAATCTCAGTAGCCGAATAGGTTGGTCAGTTTCATTTCTCAAAATAGGTAATCCTTTCGTGAGTTTCCGAACTTGCGAGGTAGTTTCTCGAGAGCTTAGTTTAGAAAAAGGTGCCGTATGAAAAAAGATTATAAACAATTTGATTCTGCGAAAAAAATTTCATTATTTACCGAGAAGTAGCAGCTTAACAATTTTTTGTTGCGCAGCATGGCCTTGCATCATTTCTTTATCAATAGCCTTGCTTTTTTGTACCATTATTTTCTCTTCTTGACTTTGGCATACTCCCATCGTTTTTAGTTTCCACTTGTCAATATAATGAATATAGCAGAAAAGGAAGAAATCTTCTTTATGAATCGCTAATATTATTAAGTCTGGATCAAAGCTTTTAATGCAATATCTGGAGTTACATGTCAAAGAAGATAAAAAAACGATTCAATTAAGCTAGAAATAGTCATAGTATCAAGATCAGTTTATCTGAAACCTTACTTTTGTACCAAAAAAAGAAATATTCTGAAGCAGGAATCCGCCGAAAGCATTAAAAGCATCAGGTCTACTTCTGGCCGATCTCGAATTAGCTTCCTCGTTCGATTTTAACTAGTAAATTAATCTACTTCTAGCACTTCACAAAGATTGCAACGATCAAAAGACTTGTTTTCAGTTTTTTTGGATGGGTTATCATTTAGTTAAATTAGTAATATTATACTACATTATATGAACCCAGTTTTGATCAACTTTTTTCTGAGTTGCTTAATAAGCAGCCACTTTTTTCACTATAAAACAGACCCATCAACTATATAACAATTTGCAGGGAATGAAAATATTAAATTATATGAAAATAAATTTAATTTTGCTCAACATCATGAACAGCAACTCTTTGGACATCGAAATATGGGATGTTGCCTTTAATTTCATGCAGCAAAATAACAGAATCGAGAAGACAAATTAGTGACTACAGAAGCAGCATTTTAATGGGCACTAATTATACAATTCATAAATCTTGTTGCTAGTCTAATTTTCAGAGGATGCAAAGCTTTTTTGCCCAGGTAATTTATTTGAAGATATTGATGGCTTCCATAAGTCAGAGTATTTCGCTATTTTTGGATTTAGTCCTTAAATATTTATGGTAATGCAACTAACAAAAAACTATCGTTCGTACTTTTCTTCAAAAAAATGTTGCCTCATAAGCATTCATCGATTATTATATCAATATTCCCTTAATAAACTCCTAATAGTAGTATAATAATATAATCGCTACAAAGAAAAGTAAAGAAAATAAATTAAAAACCTATAAACGACGAATTATTCGAAATTCCATAGGATACACGCAAAATAAATGAAAGAATAATTAAACAAGCGAACGAGCGAGCGAGCAACTGACTAACTGATTTTGTGTTGGATACCAATCCGAAACAATGATAATCATAATAATTGAGAAGAATCGATAAGAATAGAAATTTTTCATTTGTATTTATTTCGAACACGCTAAATATTTATAGTCGATAAACTTGCCTATTACTCCTTTTTTCTCTTGCATTTCCTTAGCTGTGAAAATCAAAAAAATCAAAAAAAAGGTAGGAAAAAATATGGACAGAAATATGGATTTACTATTTCCACATTAGACTGATTTTATTAAGTGATAAGAAAGATTTTAATGAAATTTTTCACACAATTAATTATAATCAAATGGTAATAAAATATTAAACAACCGCCACCAAAAAACATTAATCTTAATAGGACAATGAAAAGATTAATGTGAAAACAAACAAAGACAACAGTGTTGATAAATGACGCTTGTCGCATGGATCGATTAATAAAGGTGATTTACCGAAACACTGAAATAAGCCATACATCGCTTTATCGCTATAATTCCAATTATTTAAGTTTATCTATTCATCCAGAAAAATCGTATTTTAGATTAAATAATCTTAATTTTAATGAGATTTTGTGTTCTTCTGCTAGTCAACATACTAAAATCCAAGAAATTCGATAAGGCTTAAAAAAATATATTGCACGGAAAAATATGGTAAATAAGGTAAGGTAAATAAGGTTTAGCAAAAATAAATGCATAAATGTAAATAAAGCAAATATTTATAAATATATATATTTTATAAATATTGTTAAATATAAATATATATTACAAATAGATAGATATATTTTAAATATATAAATATTTTATTTAGTGCGAGTTTTTGATATTTTTCACCTCTCTTTTCAATATGATAAGCATAATTAATTAAACATCTAAAATCCGATAAAGGAGGATTAACGATATATGAAACCAAGTAGCAAACTTAAGATTTGTTGTTAGTAAAACACATAGAAAAATTGATAATTTAAAATGCAAAAGAAAAACGGAAGAAAACATAAAAGATTATGTTACTTGCGATTTATATATTTAACATTATATATAAGTATATCATGCAAAATGGGTAAAATGGCACAAAGGGTTGTGCTTCTATTTTAGAAATAAACACAAGTAAAAAGTTTTAAGCTTCCTTAGGTATTTTTCAAAATTTCTTGCGACTCATGTGTAGTTCTTTTGCCGAGTGACTCCTTAGCAAAATTTGTTTGGTCAAACATTGGAGGCGAGCCTAACCAGAAACAATATCGCTAACCAATTATCTACTTATTTCAACTAATTATAGTTATAACAAAATAGCTCATTAAAAAATTCATTAATCAATCAAATAGTTTGTACTCGAAAAAATTATTATGTTTACTATGATAAAAATAAATAAATAAAATTTTGAGCATAAATCAAAATATATTGTAAAACGAAAAATATTTATATCTGCCAATAGTCTATATTTTTTTCTGAACCCATTCCATTATATTGCGCAACTCACTTGCATTTCTATCGCCATGTGAAAATTCTCTGGAAAAAATTTCGAATGATATTAATAGCTAACGAATCAACCAGAAATGGTACACGAATCACTACAATCACAATAAAGGTGAACAAAAAAAGATTACGGTCATTGGCGACATCGCTGAATAAGAGCAATTAAAACATCGAAATTTCAAAAACTTTTAAAAAAACATTTCAAATTTTTTTGCGACCGTATATGCTTTTCTTTTTTCATTCTTTTTGAATTTCAAAAAAAAACTACAAATCGAAGAAAAAGGAAATATTTTAAACATATTTTTAGGAACACTGCAGTAAGAAATGAAATATATATGTTGAATTTTTTCTTAAATAATATTAATCTTTTTTTTTGATTTAATTCATCGAATTAATTGCGGTCAAAAGTTAGAAAATTAGAAAAATTAATTGCAAAAAATTAATTTCTTCATAAATACAGAAAAAAGCAAAAACTATTAAATATTTTAATATTTTCAATGCACATTTATTCATTCATTCGTTAATGGTTAACAACGCAAAATATATAATTTTCATCATAAATTTTTATCATTTTTAAATTAGATAGTAATTAAAAAACGACTTAACGATGTATTTTTTTCAAATTTTTATTTGCCTATTTATTTTACTATGCTTTTTTCTTTCAATTAAATTTAATTTTATTATCGATCACATTAGAATTTGTAATCGTACTTTAGATTTATTTATATTTCTTATAAATTGTAACTAGACTGAAATAAAAGAGAAGAACTCTGGTAGAGAATTTAATTTGCATAAAATTTGATAATAAAATTGTGAAATTTGTTTAGCTGCGATCGAGCGACTGAACAGGAATTTATAGTAACAAATAGCTCTTAAATTTTTAGGAACTTCTAAAATTTAGATGGTGATGGGTTTCTGAGACAATAGAATCGGAAGGGTAAAAATTATTGCGAAAATTTCGTTATTTTTCAAATTTAGTAATAAACAAAATATAGTAATCAATGGCGTATCGCATATTTAGATGATTTTTTTTTTTGAAAATTCACTCTATAATTAAAAACTGGAACAATTAGAGAACAGATATTTGCTTTGCTTATGGTTATAAGCGCAAAAACTGATAAAAAGACGATCGAGAAAATTTCAATCATTTAAAAATAAATGCCAATTGTAAGACTTTATCTTATATTCTTGACCGTATAAAAGGCACCATTTATTTTTAAAAATAAAGGAGAGCTAAACATTCTGATTTTCTCGGCGAAAACAATTGTTCTAATCGGTATTTCTTACGACTTGCGGTTAGGTCATCACCGTGACAACATGAAATCGCACCTCATTTCTCCATGACATTTAAGTATATTTAATATTACTTAAATTCTATATCATAACGTGCGAATATATTAATAAAAATCTGTATTTCAAGAAAAAAAAATAGGCTCTAAACTTATAAAAACGAAAACAATTATTGAATTACCATGGGTAAAACTTTAAGAGAAAAATATAACGAAATAAGAAAAAAAATTACTGTCATCGAAGAAATCTTAAAAATCTTAGAAAGTGGTGAAATTCAATAGAAGACTTAACAAAAAGAAGCCTTTTTTTTCAAAATTTTCGAAGATTAAAGCCCTTCAGTCCTACAAAGAAATGGACGCCACATTTCTTGTCATTTTGAGAAAATCTTTTTCTCACTAATAAAATAAATACGTTAATAAACGAAACAGTAAGTGTAATTTTTTCAGAGAAAAATTTAGAAAAAAATTCTATCAATGATCAGTGAAAGGTCGTTTCGAGTGGTCATAAAAAAAATGAAAATATGGTCGTACAAATATTCTTTTGTTATAATTTTTATCTTATTGTTCAATAAATGAATTGACTTAAAATGAGTTAGGAAGCAGGAGCCAAGTGGATAGTATTTTAGACTACCGGATAAGCAAGGGCTCCCGACAGGACATGTCATCAAAAAATCCGAGTAGCAGTGGCGAATCACCTGTATTTCTATCAAGTGACCGTAATGACAATCAACTGGCCTGACCTAATCATTGATAAGAACTGATAATGTTTAGATGTTTAGATTATGAATATAGACCGTAGGTTTACAATCTTTTCTGGTCCATTAGCGATAGAAATAAAGGTGAATCGCCAGCATAACCCCGGATTTTTGTACAGGTTCACTCCTGCGCCGAATCGAACCTCAGCATCGGCACTCCCAGTTGAGCAACAACCCACTGAACCATTCTATCTCAACCGTCCCAGGTAAGGAGTTTTTAAAAAATTTAACTTTAATATTAAAAATTCCAAATAATGCTATTTGCGAGTGAATTTAAAATCTTAAAAACTGTATTGAAATGAAAAATCGATTTTTTAAAGCTACTATTCGTTTCAAAAAAAATTAAAAAGGATTTCTTAAGGCACAAAAATAAAATAAATTGAAATTATAACAATCAAAATA